TTAGTTTCTTAAGTCCCTGAATATGCTTGCCTGCCCTAGAGCACCTACGTTTTGTAATGCTCCCTGAATCAGCATTTTCAGAGCTAGTATTTCCTCCAGTGATTGCTGAGAGGTGTTGCTGATTGCTTGCTCAGAGGGACATGCAGTCAGAAAAGGCTACGAGGGCTTTGGGTTTTGCCTGGCTGTCTGGCTTAAAGTTCTCCAGGAGCCAAATCCAGACTGAATGTCTGACATGCATTTCTGTAACTGATGTGACACCTGTCTTGCATGTTACTAGGGTCTTTTTTTCAAAAAACCCAACCAATATGTTGAAATAAAGCACAAAAACATAAAATTCCTATGACACTTATTCTGGTAAACATCTATTTAGTCTAATGTGCTGAAAAGAAAAGAAAAGAAAGGAAAATATTTCACCAAACATAGACATCTTTTTGTAAGGCTAAACAGGACAATGTACTGCAAGGGTTTCTGATGCTGCAGAGGCAGGGGAGAATCCAGTGGGGTGTAGTGGTGCAGTTGCACCCTGATTTGATTCATGGTCCACCCGAAGTTTCAAACCAGCTGCCTGGCAGTGGTGGTGGCAGTGGCAGCAGCAGCAGCAGCACTTCTGTTCAGGCAACAGTGAGGGAGTCGGTTGATTTCATGGCTCATATAATTTATCTGATTTCTTCTAAACTCTTCATTCTACTGGTGTTTAATGACCTTGTTTCCTTTTTAATTGTCTTGATATTCTACTAATCCAGCTATCATTTCTTCTGCAGTTCTGCTCTCTGCTAACTGTTCCTAGTATTGTAGATCCTATTTCACAGACCTGTAGGCCATTTTTAACTCCAGCTAAAAATATTAACTCAGATGTGGAGATGACAGTGCAGTGAATGCTTCACTGAAAGTTAAGGTGCTCATGAAGACTAGGTTTTGTTTTGTGAATCTGAAAAAGATGTACATTTAATTCTTATTACTACAGAACTAATGAAACAAAATCTTTTGATTATTTTTGCCTAGTTTGTTGTGGTTTTGTACATATTATGTGATATAACAAATTAAGCATGTTCCAATAAAGTTATATTTGTTTTTGTTTCTATCTTAAACTGAACAGTATAGCCCCAGACTCCTGCCATATTAGTAAAGCTTTTAGTTTCTTTTTAACTAGAGAAAAATACATGTTGTGTTATATGGGCCTCTGCACCCCCATTTTTAGAATCCTAGATCTGCCCATGCAAGGTGCTTCCTATCATCACTTGTCTCACAAAAGCAACCATAATCACAGCTCTTCCTAATCGTACCACTAGGTAATCATCCTAGTGTTTTGATTGATACACTGTCTTTGATATATTTGATTGATACACTATTTTCTATACTATCTGCCAGAAGGGGAACCCATGGAATAGCTCTTCTTGTTCCACTTCTTCCCTTTAACTATAGAATATGGTCTAGTGGAAATAAGTTTAGCAGGGGAAAGAAGGAAAACTTCTTCCCTCACCCCCTAACATAAATCTGGCACTCAGTTCCTGACCTCAGACAAGTGACCTGATTTAACAGTGCACTTCAACTGCTTTATTCCCCATGGCACCACTAGCTAACTAGGTATTGCACTTATAATGGCCAACATTATTTTAGTAGCCAAGAATTTCACAAAGATTATCCTGAGTAGATCTGTGCAGTGGAAGATGTAATATTCTTCCAGTTTACAGATGGGGAACCGAGCTGCAGGAAGATTGAGTGGTTAGCTCAAGGTCACCCAGAAAATTTGAGGCAGAGGTGAGAAGTTAACCCAGATAGAAAATACAGTGTAGTTCCTTAGCCACCAGACTCCTTTCTTCCACTGGCCAGTTATGCTGGATTTACAACTGCTTTGTTTTTCTGGAACGGCAAAAAGCAGCTTAGAGGGGCATATAAATCTGTCTATTTTTATCAGTTAGATATCAGTCAGTAACCTTAAATTATCCTATAGTGCCTGTCAACAATATTATAGAGATGACTGTGATGAATACTGTGCTTACGTTCACTCTTGAAACACCCAGTTTGTTTTTTGTAATCAGCAACCCTTAACAAAATGTAAAGCTTGCATGAAAAAACAGTTATAAATTCTTAGCACATCTTAGAAATACAGGGCCAAATCCTGAAGCCTTATTTAATAAGGGCACAATTGAATAGAAGCCGTGTCATAATTTAGTAACTGGCCCTGAAGATTTATACTGGACTAACTGATGCAGTCATTTTTGAACAAGAAATCTTTGTGTGGGGATTCTCAATTTGTCTAAATTGACATTGTAGTCAGTGGAGTTACACTGACTTTTACTAACTGAGGACTTGATCTGAAAACTATAATAAAGAATATCTCTCTAACCCACCAAGAAGAAGCTAACACAGAACATTAACCAGCAGTTAGGTGTGAGGATGAAAAGCATTCGGGGTGGGGAATGGAAAGGAGCACTTGTTCACATGCCTGCAGTTTCCTAGTCTTTTCTAGCACAAATCAGGAGGAAGTAACATCAAATGTATGCTTTTTTCTGTCTCTCCATTCTCCTTATGGGCCTGCTTGGGTGTTACTCACCAGCAAGCCACACATTCTTTCTTTATCATCAGGCAGCACTTGCAGTGACCCAGTCCTCTCCAACAGGGCAATATAGCACAGGGTAATAAAATGCAACTGCAAACCTGAGACACAAGCAGCAGAGGTACATCCACGACTTCATTCATGTTGCTCACTACTCCTCATGGCTCCCTGTAGCCTAGCAGCACCACCTGGCTGCTATGCAGCAGCACAACCAGCAGTGGGTGATGGAGACACAAGCCCCAGCACCAGTGTGAAGGAGATGCTAGAATGGACTTACAGGGGGCACCACCCTACTATGAAACCAAGCCCATGGTTGTCTCCTGCCTTGGGCAACTGGAATTGGTGGTGCCTGGGAGTCAGGTCCAGCAACTGGGGCCTTGTATCCCTAGTTCCTTCTTCAGCCTTACACTGCTTGGGAGACTCCACTGCTTGTGGGAGAAGGTGTGTTGGTATAGCCAGCAGCCAGGGGAGTTAATGCAGCCTTCCCACTACAGCTGCCGTGGTCACCAGATCAAAGGTGGTAAGCTGCAGTGGTAGCTGCAACAGGGGGCTGCGAGAGGGTTCCTGCACCCCGCGGCTCCTCAGGGAACAAACATTACCAGTTATGACTTTGCTTTTATGTTAATTAAGTCAGCCAGCCTGCCCTCAAGCTGTCATTTCAAAGACTCTTGTGTTATGTGTTCTCCGCTACCAGCTGGATCTTACATCATAGAAATATCTGTCCATCTGTCTATCCCTGTGAGACTGTAATCCACCCTGATATCTAAGGCATGTTAAATAAAGTTGCTTACCATTGGCTTACTTTTTGTGCTTTGTTTATATGCATAACAAAGCATATGTGGCATGTATCGTTACAGGCATGTTGTAGACACTGCAGGGTTATAGCTGAGCACTTCGTGGCTGGAGTCACGATAACTGTGTGGGGCAGTCAGGCATGAAGCCTCGGGGGGAGCCAGCAGGAAACCTGTTCAGATACTGCACTTGCTGCACATTTTAAAAGGCACAGTGAAGGGGCCTGGCACACAGGCAGGTGGAGTGATGGCTGCCTTTCAGACATCCTTGGCCCCACACCTTGGGTGGGGAGGTGATCATTAGCAACAGGTAATGTGGACAGAAGCTTCAGGCATTCTTTGAACTGGTATGCACCCTCTGGGTGAAAAGGCACCTAGCTATCACATGGTCCCAAACAGTGGCACCGGCAAGTTTGCTATGGGTTATTTACTGGGGGGGAAAAAAGGAAGTGAAACTGATAAAGCAAAATGATAGGTTTGATAACAAATGCCTTGCCAGGATGCAGTGCTGATCCTGTGGTGGTCATCTGAATGGGAATGTAGATTGAGCATGGGACTGGAAGTTAGGAGAGTCAGGCTCTGGTCCTGGTTCTGTTGATAACTCATTGGGACACCTTGGCTCGGTTAGCTAGGGGCAAATAATTCTATGCAGAAGAAGACACAAGGATCCCTTCATGCCAGTGTACACAGACAGTGCCCACCATGACGGCGCTTCCAGTAATGGGATGCACAAAGGAGAAACACCAGCAGTTCTGGCAGCATTATTAGTCCTGGCAGTGATGGTTACCCAGTGGCCATCTTGTTTCTTCTACATATGAATAGGGATCCTGGTTTTCTCTGATAAAAAATAATCCCCAATTTCTGAGATTTAAAAATGTAATCCAAAATCCACCATTTCCTGTGATTAAAATGAAACACCATTAATATATAGATAGCTGTATAGTGGCATTTCATTTTGATTGTGGAAAAATGTGGATTTGGGGTTGCTTTTTTAAAATCTAAAAATTGGAGGTTTTCTTTTTATCAGAGAAAACCAGGATCCCTGCTGATGAATGAAGGCAAAAAATCTTCCAGGCTCTATTGCTTTGGTGGTGTACTCTGTCTTCTTCCCATTCAGAGCTTAATCTGGCACAAGTGAGTTCTGTGTCTCCATCATGCCATCTGTAAAATGGCAACAGCAGTCAAGGTCTGCAGTTCAAGGTCTGTTTGTGAATAAGTGCAGAGCGCTGATGCTGCTGTTCAGGAGAGAAACTTTCTGGTGCAGGCTCCTTGGGCTGGCTGAATCTGGTATTGCTATACAGGAGAACAAAGGCAGAGGCTGAGGAAGGAGTGTCTCAGGTTTCTGCATAGACTCCCTCTGGCCAAGTAAGGAGACATACTGGCTGTGTGCTGTGATTGTCCAGATTAGGTTTTTGTAGCCAGGAGGCTAATGGCATATATTTCATTTCATTGTCAGTCAGGTTGAGAGGATGGTAAAAGATTTGTTTTATTTTAATGCAAAGGCTGCTATACATTGGCAACTGTCTCTTTTTAGGGCTAACATTTCAACTTAACTGCCCAGACCAGCAGCAGGTGAAGCCATCCTGTGTGCCCCTAACCTGTAGTGAAAGAATGTGTATACAGTACAGTAAGTTACCTCCAATTCCTTTTAGGTTAGGATTTTAAACAAGAAGATCGATTTTAGCGATATTCAGTCCCGATGTGGTTCCAAGGATAACATCAAACATTCTGCAGGGGGAGGAAATGTAAGTAGAGATGCTATCTGAAAAGGCATCCTGACTGTGATGATCCACTTTGCACAACCCAGCCCTCCGTCTCCATTCTCCCAAACACTATTTTCCTTCTTGCTAATGTCTTACATCAGTCTGGTCTGGTAGTCTGTCAACCCTGCGTATTCAGTGGTGGGCTTCTGATCCTTCCCCACAGAGCACAGCAGATTTCCAAGACTCAGCTAGGAAAGTGGTAAGGCAGGACAAGATGGGTACTAAGTGCCACAAGAAAGCCAAGAACCTCAGGACATACAAGCAGCTGCACCTCTGATGGAGCACCAGAA